TACAAGAGATAAGGTGGCCAAATAGTGGAAACCTAAAGAAAGACAATATAACAATATTCTACAGTGGCACTACTAATGGAAAACATGAAAATAGAGTAGGTTTTTTAGTAAACGACAGGACACTACCAAATGTCAAGACCTTTTCAGCCTTTAATGATTTTKCTATATCCTTTTAGYGGGAAAGATATTTGACCTAATTATTATAAACTGCTATGCCCGAACAGAGGAAAAAGATGAAGACATAAAGGACAAATTCTATGAAGAACTAGAAAGGGTATATGACACTTGACCGTTGCACTGTATAAAGATAGTAGTAGGGGATATGAACGCGAAGGTTGGAAGGGMAAATATATATAGACCGGTCATAGGACCTAACAGTTTACACGAAATTAGTAACGGAAATGGGACAAGACTGWTAAATTTTGCACATTCAAAAAATTGTATGATAAGCAGTACATATTTCCCCAGAAAAACTATACAYAAATTCACTTGGAAATCCACTGATGGAAGAACATTTAATCAAATTTACCACATACTTATCGACAGGAGATTYAAGGAATGTGAGAACGTATASAGGAGCTGATGCAGACTCAGACCACTACCTAGTGTATGCGAAATTTAACCTGAGACTGGCAATAAAATGGAACTTGGAAAAAAGGAAACCTACAATACAGTACGACATACAGAAATTAAATGATATTGGAATAAATCATAATTACATTGAGAGAATCGCACATGAATTACAAAATACTAATATAAATCAAATAAACCATAGAACAGAAATTGATAGGATTTGGAACAGAACAAAGGAAGCGGTGGYTAGTAGTGCAATGGAGATTCTAGGAATGAAACCAAAAGAAAATAAGAAAAACTGGTTCAACGATTTATGTAAGAACGCAATCTAAAGAAGAAACGAACTGAGKAAAAAAGCAYTACAAAATACATCAGACGAGTGCATAAGAGAATATGAAGAACAAAGAACATTGACAAATAAAGTGTTAAGGGGAGAAAAACGTCTACATGAAAAGAAACAAATAGAAGAAATAGAAATCAATAGATACAACGCAAAAATGTTTTTCAAAATGTCTGGGGAAGYAAAAGTTGGCTTCAAACCACAAACAAGGATCTTAGTGGACGATACGGAGACTATGATCACAGAAGAAAGACAAGTAMGAGTAATTAACCAATTCAAGGAACATTTTGAAGACCTCCTGAACCGACCCTCAATAGSGCATGATTTAAATCCAAGCGAAGACTGCCTAACAGCAGAAATAGATATAGACGTTCCTAAATACGAAGAAATTGAGACTCTGATTAAGAGGCTTAGCAACAACAAAGCCCCAGGAGAAAACAACATAGTAGCGGAATTACTTAAAAAAGGTGGTACAATGTTGGTGAGCAAAATATTACAGAAGTTATTAAGACAATATATAGAACACTGAGACAATCCCAAAAGAATGGAAAACTGCAATTATATGCCCAATATTTAAAAAAGGCAACCCCACTAAAACTGAGAACTATAGAGGAATTTCGCTACTGGACACATGCTATAAAATTYTGACAACACTGATATTAGAAAGGTTAAACCCGTATGTTGAAGAAATAGTTGGGAATTACCAATGCGGGTTTAGGAGAGGRAAATCCACAACAGACCATGTTTTCGCCCTAAGAYAGATAATGTCAAAATACTACGAATTTGGAAAGGACCTGCATCTAGTCTTTGTGGATTACAAGCAGGCGTATGATAGTGTAGACAGAGAAGAGCTTTGGAAAGCATTGGTAATTTTAGGAATACTCAAAAAATATGTGAATGTAATAAAAGCATGTTACGAAAAAACACTATGCAAAGTGTGTTTTGTACAAGGCATCTCAGATCTTTTTGAAGTTAAATCTGACCTTAAACAAGGGGACGCGTTGTCACATGCACTATTTAACTTGGCGGTCGAAAAAATAATTAGAGACACAATTGATGACAGAAGGATGGGGATAAGCAATGAACAAGTTATGTTAGCCTACGCAGATGACATTGTGCTGATGGGTGAAACCAAAGAGGAAATCATCAACTCAACATCTAAACTCATAAATGCAAGTAAAGGAATAGGATTACATGTAAACKAGGGGAAAACTAAGTACATGGTCGTATCGAGAAGACTACCAAATATAGATTCCATAGTAGTGGATAATTATAAATTTGAAAATGTTGATAATTTTAAGTACTTAGGCGTAAACATCAACAACAAAAATGATATGCATATAGAAATGAATGAACGGATCACTAATGGAAATAGATGTTATTTCAGTATTATCAAACTCCTGGGGTCTAAGCTGTTGTCGAGAGGATCAAAGATACTACTATATCATAGCTAACTTCGACCTGTGATAACATACGCCTGTGAAACCTGGTCGTTGACTAAAGGTGATAGCAGAAAACTTATCACGTTCGAAAGGAAAGTGTTACGAACCATTTATGGACCAATCTTCAACCCAGAAACACAGACATTCGAAAGAAGAARCAACGAAAATATAAAGTCTCTTTGTAATAAGCCAGACATAGGTACTCTATTTTATCAGGAAAAAACAATTAGAATGATTCGGACATGCATGGAGGGCAGATGGACAGCTAATTAAAAATGTAC